GGGAAAATATCAGTCACATACGGAAATTCCCGTTTCTTCAATACTCATAGCGGATGAAAATAACTTTTCGAGCATCATTTTTCATTAATCCCTTCTTCAGAGCTATCTCAACCCCCCCCCCCTCTCCCTCCCCCCTCCTGTTTGCACACCCAATCATTTGCTCACCTGTGACGGTTGCAAAGACTTGTCACGTTCCGTGATCATTACCCGTGTGATCGCGTTACTATTCGCAGTCGATGCACTTGAAGGTACCGATGATGACTGATTTTTGGCTGATGCCAGAGTTGACGCAGCTGTTGCAGATGTGTTCGTGTAGGATGTGGATGGTGCATTTAGACTGCTCACACCCTCGGTGACTTGTTGTTGTGACTGATCCTTCGGAGGAGTTGAGATCGCATCCAATGCTGATTGCACCTCTTCAAACGAGATCGGACCGGTACCGCGACGAGTGCTTCGAGAAATCTGCAATTGCCGCTCATTTTCACTATGTCCATCGCAATAAGTGAACAAGAAATAATCACCTCAATCAACGAAATTTAATAATCAAATAACAATAACGATAATGAAACAACAACAATTCCAGCATTGTCAGAAATCTCATCATAATCACAACAAAAAACAAAAAACGAAAACAGTACCTGTGATCTACGCCTCAGATTAGCCATATCCTTGGTTGGATACGACGATGCCGTAACTGTTGTGGATGTTGGTTTTTTATCGTGTTGTTCATCCACAACTTCCGTACTATTCACTGTACTCGCTTGAGAGTCACCGCTTTTTAACGATTCCTGCGACGGTGTCTTCGATAGCTCCCTCTCCCGCTCCCTACTACTACTCCAACGATTGCGATGATCGTTCTCTTTTCCATCTCGGAACAACACACTCGCTGATGCGGCACGGAGTTGCTCACGGGTTACACCTTGAGTTGACCTAAAAGTTTCTCAAACTACTATCGTCATCATTATTGGGTTCTCAGAGGACTCAAGTGCATTCAAAATAGTGATGGGGTCAGAGCGAAATTTCGTTCGGTCGGAATCCGACCGAGTTGGAATTTCGTCATTCCGACCGAAATTGTCGGATTTTTCCGACCGACTGCCAGTCGGATCCCGTCACTAATTCAAAATACCGTGCAATTCGAATATTCTAATAAAAATTTTCGGACCTTCGTGAATCGCGTTGTCGTTTCGCTTTACTTCTTCGTTCGGCTTCGCTCTCCTTCGGCATATTCGGCTCTTGCGGAGGAGTTGGTGCCACGAATGAACTTCTAAAAACAAATTTATGTCTTCCACTATTGATCTCCTCACTTCATGAATCTCGAACCAAAATGCTGCAAACAAATCCCGTAAAATGCAATTTTCTCACCTTCCTCTATAGACACCCATAAACCTACTACCAAACCCGTGTCCATCTTCCTATCTAACTCAACACACACACAGACTTTTCAATACCTCCACCTTAAATCTCACAAACGCCCACTGAACAACCCCCTTCCATACCACATATTTCACTCGTTTCAATTGCTTAAAAGCTGACTCTCCCATGGAAGCCATGCAATAAAACAAAAGA